CAGGACCAGATGGAATCCCGCCAGAAGCACTGGTAACAGACGCAGGGACAACAACGGACATGTTCATATCACTACTGCAGAAAGTTTGGAAGGCAGGAAAGGTACCAGCCGAGTGGAAGAAGGGCTACCTTGTGAAACTGTCTGAGCCTTTGCAAGAACTAGGGTGGAATCATTCTCCACCGCTGTTCACCCTAGGCAAAATATTAGGCCGCATAATCCTGGAGAGACTAAAGGATGAATTGGATTCAAAATTACGACCAGAACAGGTTGGCTTCAAGAAGTACAAATCATGTGCACATTAAATTGCTACGCTACGACTCATCACAGAACAGAGCATAGAATGGCAGTCAACTCTCTACCTCAACTTCATTGATGTTGAAAAAGCCTTCGACAGCGTCGACCGAGAAGTAATTTTGAAACTGCTTCAACACTACGGAATACCACAAACCTTTATCACTCTCATTCAACAGCTATATGAGAATGATACATGCCAAGTGATCCACAATGGAAAACTCAGTGACGCCTTTGAAGTGAAGATACGAGTAAGACAAGACTGCCACCTACGATCACCGATGATCTTCCCGATTGTGTTCGACTGGACTGGATCGTGCAATAAACTGTGAGGAGCGAGAAGATAGGCATACGCTGGACCGATGAAAAGAGCCTGGAAGATTTGGATTTCGCCCATGATGATTTATGTCTAACGTCGCAAAAACTCGAAGATTTACACACGGAAATCAACAAGTTGACAGAAGAGGAAAGGCAGCGAAGACGGGACTTCAAGTGAATGTAGATAAGACAAAGTTGATGAAGATACCCAACCAACGACAAGCAGCAATCACCATGGACGGTAGAAACCTAAACGAAGTAGCATCTTTTACCTACCCACCTACCTAAGGCAGCGTCGTTTTAACTACAGGCAGCACAGATGAGGACGTCAAAGCAAGACAGGCCGTCATCAACCTGAAATCAGTGTGGAGACATACTGCACTCAGCATAAAGAACAAGATCCAGATTTTCAACACTAATGCCAGTCAAGTCAGTGCTTCTATATGGTTCAGAAACTTGGTGCGTTACGAAAAGCATTTCCAACAAACTACAGACATACATCAACAACAGCTGCCACCTACGCTCACTCGATACTGAAGATCAGATGGCCAGAATAGTAAGAATAAACAAGGAACTCTGGCTGGCAGCGAACCAACCAAGAGCCTATAGTCCAACAAATATGCAGAATGTGGAGATGGATTGGATCGGGCATACACTGAGATCATTTGGGGACATCACGCACCAGGCTCTCGAGTGGAATCCAAAGGGGAAACGACCAGTTGGGCGTCCGAGACGAGGGTGATATTAAGATCGTGTGAGGAAGAAATGAAAGCTCCTGGACAGCCGTGGAGCCAGATTCAAAAGACTATAGAGAACATAGTGAAATGGAGACGCGCTACTGAAGCCCTCTGTTCCACTAGAAACCCAAGGGATAAATGAGAGTAATAACTAGAAAAACTGTAAACTTGCTGACGTAGGTTCAGTATTAAGTTTCCGGAGAGAGGGTGCTTCACTGGAGAATCGAAACGCACTTAGCAACCTTGCCCACGTGCATGCAGTAGGCAACGAGTCACGTATATCATGTAAGGGCTACTCATACTACACTGGTAGCCCAAACCTTCGTAGGTGATGTGGCTCATTAGTCTAGGCATTTTGTTTCCAACCAATGGACCACGGGTTCGGACCCCACCTTACCCACGGAGGTTCAAATAGCCAAGTAGCAGCACTAACCATTACACAACATGTGGCACACTACCTACTGTACGACTGTGCACAACGTTGCTGGGGATATTTCAAACTAAACTAACATTTGGACTCCTTCATTGTTGTATCACAAACAATGTCTCTTCCCCAAAGTTGTACGGCCGGTTGGGATTTATGTAAAGCCCGATTGAATGGAGACGTAAGAAGTGGAAAAGACTTTGACACTTTTCGACGCTTACTCGTAATTTCCACGTACTTGTCAACCAACAGCAGCTGGGATAAGTTTTTACTACATGAAGTAACACGTTCATATAGTCAGTAGCGGGTGACTTAAACGCTGAAACAGAAAAGTGTAGCCTATCAGAAAGGCGTTTTGGCGATATCCCACGCAATTAAAGCGACAAAAGTGACTGTCTCCTGCAAGTGCGTATTGACAATCACTTGTTTCTAGTCAGCACCAAATCCAAGAACAGGGGAAAACAGCTCCAAATGGCGTACCCTGACATCAAACCTACGGTCCACGTAGATACATCGTACTGCTATAGGCTATTGAGGCTCGATGGGGCATTGTTGCTCTCATTATAACACCTGCTTGGACTCAAAAAGTATGCATTAGTATGGGCAAGCGTATTTTTATGCCTCAAAAGGCGCAGTAAACATAAAGCAAATAAGTTTCTTCGGTGGAAGACGAGAAAGCTAAATGTGCATTTAAGGAGATAAGTAAGCATTTACCTGAATATGGCAGCAGATCTCTCCTTGATAAGGTCTGACGTACTATTCAGTCTGCTGTGGAAACAGCGGTCAAGAAAATTTATTGGATTTTTGCAACATGATCCAAACTAGTTGATACGAGCAAACTTCATCCAGTTGGCTCCGACCACAGTGAAGATCAAAATCCACTTAAACGCAAATTTACCAAGTCTTCAAAGTAACCAGGAGAAGTGGTGAGTGGCGAAAGCTATGGAAAAGGTATTAGCATTAGGTAATGCTCGACAATTATCTCGACTTATTAGGGATACTGGGAAGAAGACGGTGATGAGACCATAGTCGAAAAGGACGAGTCCGTGGTAACGTCTCCGGAAAAGTGACTGAAACATTGAGCGTAACAGTTTGAAAGAAAGACATCTTCAAAGACATCCGACACTTGCCACATTTCATAACCTGAAGACCGTGTTCGGCAATGTCTGCTTAGAGGTGGAGTAGAAGTTTCTGACTGCGAAGTGTCCAGCAAGTAGATTATGCTAACTGACGTTTTCTACTAAAACACAACTGAGTGAGGGGCTATGAGGAGTTATCAATGGAAGCGAGTAGAATCAGCAATGTCCATCAGGGATATTCGTTGTTACCACTCCTGTTCGAATTCGTCTTAGATGTATAAATGCGTTTCGTACCCGTCAACTGTCAGATGATGCTTCCGGAAAAGGAGTGAAATGATAACGTACGCTGACCACTTCACTTATTTGAGAAGTTGCATCAGACAGAACGTATTGATTGTTGACGAAATCCCAGTTTGGATACAGAAGGCCAACGTGGCATTTGCCAACTTGCCATTTCTGGGGCCGGTGAGATATCCAACTACCTATCAAACGATAAGCATACTGCGCTGATCGATTATACAGATATTGTGGGACATGGCCGTTGAAAATACACATTAAGAGACTACGGGTTTCAGATCACAGGTGCTTTCGCTGCATTGCTCAAGTTTGGTGGGATCACTGTTTTAAGCAATATTGGGGTTAGGCGAAGGGTACCCAGACAGATAAGTCGGTTGGGAACCTACACCAACATGTCTTGTACATGCCAAGCCACCAATTAAATTGATATGCATGTTAGCTGATGTAGGTTTGGGTTGGAAGACTGATTGACTTGTAAAATCAAGGTGGAACCCCGCACACAGGTGCATCGGCTGAAGTTGCCACACTTCAAACTACTACAAAAAGATCAGCTGGAGAGAAAAGGAGTGATATCAAAGTAGAGTGAGAGAATAAAATGACCGAAGATAACGGTTAGTACGAATATTCAGACTTTAGAGTGAATACATCTACGCCACTGTAACCGATTTTCCCAATCATCTCAACCACTGCTTCTCTTCGTCACGGGGACTCCAATCAGGCAATCTAGATCTTTCCACATGATTCAGGCCAACAGTTAGACGCTTAACCAACTGGTGCCAAGTATTCGTCTGACCATCCCAAACCATCTAAACTAATTCGACTTTCAACAGCAGTATAACACGTCGAAGTAAGTGGTGAATCGGCATGGGAAGTACATGTCTAACCCACCTCAGTCAACTAAGGATCACAACCTCACCAACCGACTTACTTGTATCATCTAGTATTCTTCGCCTGACCTCAACATTGCTCAAATGGTGATTCCATCGAACGCAAGCAATGATACGAAGACATCTGTGATCAGTTGCCAGAACAAAACACGACACTAGTCAATGAAGTCTTTGATTGCTGGTCTGAGCCGTATAGGGATCTGTAGCCTGCTTGGTTGTGGTTTTAGAGATAGTAGGAATCAATGGTTACAAAACTTCGGTGACATGGCTGAAGATCTATCCTAGTGGCGCAGGTGCGTCCACCTTTTGACATAGTTTGGACACTCACAAATCTTGATTTTCAAATTTATTCTCTCCCACAGACCAGTTTACTTTGATTTTTCTCTGCCCACTTGAACTTGGATCCGGCTGTGAAGTCTAACAGATGCACTTTTGTGCAAGTTTCTACGCTGATTTTTGTCGCTCACTTTATAGTCTTTGCAAAAGCCACAGAAAATCTGCATTTTCCAGTGGAACCATTTTGTCTACATAATTAACGTTATTCAGTGTGAAATGTTCATGTGAGTAAAGCAACATACTTGTTCCTCATTTAAAGTAGCCCCTGGGTTAAAGCAACCAAACGTCACTCATGCTAAGGGATACGGAGTATTTGGAATGCTTTTATCCTTTGATCTTATTACAGACTGCTGTACTTTCACATGAACTTCAATTACTACGGATTAAATTTATTAAGACGGGGGTTCATATTAATTCTTATGAGGCAGCATAAACGCAAGAATTGACTGTACGTTAGTCGCCAGTTTATCGAAGTGACTGAACATGGCAGCAGGAGTGTTGATTTGCGAAGCATTTTGATTAAGAGGCAGGAATTAACTTTTGATTGTCTTTCAACAAAACAAATGGCTACTGTCACCAAGTGGGACAGAGTATGTAATAATTCTTTATGACATCCAGTATAATTACTTACCCAAACGTCTCGGTCTCCAGTCCGGACGCGTTCTCCCTCGCTCAACATCAGTCACAACACGAGCACCATCAATCTTCCGACCATTAAGTGCTTTGACAGCCGCTTGAATTTTATTAGCATAGACAAAACAAGTGTAAATCAGAATTCACATAAGCAATAGCATGTGTGCTTAAAGGTGATCACTTTCTAGCAACTAAAATAAAAATTCTTTGAACAAATAATACTATGAAAGAAATTTAAATCAGAAAAAGAAATAGCCTATTTTGATGTTGTGCTCCCTGAGCTGGTTGGTTTAATCGTCCTTTCACTGTTATTTTAGACAATATAATCAGCACGAACTTCAAAATGGAAGCTTCACGATTAAACCATCCAGCTCAAGGAACACAACACAATCAAAACCATCCTCTTGAGCTACAAATATTTTCCATCATACTAGCCTATGTTCTATGGGTCAACCCCAGCAGCTCGAAGGTGAGTATAATCAATCGATAGGATTACACGATCCAGAAACTCACCACAACTAATTTGTTTATTGCCACAGACGGAGTGATCACATCTCCGAGGCAAACGCGAGACTGAAAACCCCTGAGATGGTTAGTAATACTTACTGTTACCTGCTGATTTTAGGACTATTATATCAGTTAACCAGAAAAGGTTGTCCCTTTGGTAGCAACAAATGTGGCTGACCATTAATTAGTAGCTTACCACACAAACAAACCTAAGCCAGATTTTTCTGTAGTTAAGCGTCTGGCTGAACACGATGTGTCAAAAATGCAGTGCAGGCCAGTCAAAAATTTTTGAGGGTGAGCACAACTGCACGTTTACGAATAGATGCCTGAAGAGAAAAGAGAACAAACCATACAATGAAGGCTTTGAAGAGCTAATAAACTATTTCGCCCTATAAACATGACACCACTACGAATCACCAGATTGAAAATGGATTAACTTAAGATCACTGAGCAACTGTGTGAGATGCAACAAAGTAAATATTTCAGCTCACCGTGCATATCACGTTCATGCTCAAATTCCACAAAGCAATATCCACGAGGTTTTCCTGTTATCACGTTTTTGACCATTACAATCTAAAAAAGAGCTTCAGAACAAATGCATGTTGACGTACATTATTGATTCGTCCAAATACATCGAGCTCCCTTTTAAGCTTGGCTTCTGTAGTATCATAGTTCTTGTGAATAGTTAAATAACTTGCCAGTAACTTACTAGTCTGGCAACAAACATCGTGTTGTAAGGGTTGGAAGTAGCTTTCGGTTCTTTTTAGGATTCCCTTTATAAAATGCTCAGAAACGTAAAAAGCAACATACACAAAGCTAGGTCCTGCTCAAGTTTGTAATTAGCTTGTTCTTGTTTCTCACGACGCTGGAGGACTTATAGAGTACGAAATTAAGACGTACCTTTCTTTCTTTTCGCTCTTCTCGTGTCTCAATGCGCACTGGGGCTGGAGTTTCAGATGCATCCTAGATAGGGATAAGGTGGAGACAAAATTGTGTACACAGAAACATATGGAAACAAATACGGTGTGGATAGGATTGGTGATACAAACCAGATTCTCTGTCAAACATAGCTTACCTCAAATTCCCCTAAAAACTGAGCGACGCCAGTGTATGGCAATTTTCTGTGATGTGCATGTTTTTCAATGGGTGGAAGGAATGGAATTGGATCTCTCGGTGCAAAAAGTGCCAACAAATTCGGTGGCAGGAACTGCGTCATTCCCGCGGATTTTGAACTGCGCGCCGCGATTGTTGGATCTCGTCATAAAACGAAAACAACTGATTTAAATAAATTGGGGGTGTATATGGAGTCAAAATTAATTAAAAGACCATAAGAAATTCATGGTATTTGTTTTATTTATCATAACGTGTTTGTCTTCGTCTTATCGAATTTTTGAGATCTTGGAATGATACTTTAAATCCATGCTGAGTGGCCATTTGAAGTTTTGTTTTTGTTTGCAAAACTTTTTGTTTCTTGAGTTTCACATCATATGACTTACTTTTAAAACTATTACCGAAATATCGTGAGGATATTCAATGTAGGTTTCTGATTGGCCAGTTTTCCCATCTTTTTGTGCCTGAACATGTTTTACTCCTAATGGGGAATCAGAAATATGTTTTCATTTTTAAAATTTGTTTCTCCATAAGCTTTGTTGTGGATCACATAAAATTTTTAGAACTTTCAACATCTTTCGTATTCAGGTTTGCTATGACGGATATTACGGGATTTTAGTCTTCAGTACGCCAACACGACTGTTTTAAAAGTCTTTATTGTTCACATGAAATCATTTGAAGTATTTAATGCTTTGAATGCTGTTAATATTCAGCAGCTACAGAATACTATCCAGTCTTTAATATGTGTCGTTTTGTAACTGATCATTTGAAAACGTATGAATTTGGATGTTCCGATGGACAAATCAAAGTCAGAATGACCAATCAACGCATTGTGATTAATGTTAGTGGTCTTCGCTTTGAAACCCACACAGATACCTTAAATCGATTTCCTAATACCCTCCTTGGATGTCCTTTCCGGAGAAGTCGTTATTATGATTCCCTGAGAAATGAGTATTTCTTTGACCGAAATCGTCCTAGTTTTGATGCAATACTATATTTTTATCAAAGTGGTGGAAGACTTAGACGACCAGTTAATGTACCGATTGATGTATTCACAGAAGAAATAAAGTTTTATGATCTTGGAGAAGAAATATTTGAACGCTATCGTGAAGACGAAGGGTTCACTAAAGAAGATGTTCACATCCTTCCTAAGAATAAATTTCAGAGAAAAGTTTGGCTGCTTTTCGAATACCCTGAGAGTTCGACTGCAGCAAGGTGTGTAGCCATTATTTCCTTATTAGTCATTCTTATTTCAATTATCATTTTTTGTGTTGAAACACTACCACATTTTAGACACTATGAACTCGAATTTATTGAAGGTTCTACTGAACTGCCAATTATATCTGCTGTTGATACACCCCAAGTAACAGGGACATTGTTTATTCTCGAGTCTATCTGTGTTGTATGGTACACTTTCGAGCTACTGGTTCGCTTTGCCGCCTGTCCACAAAAGTTGACATTTTTCAGACAAGTAATGAATTTAATCGATGTGGTATCTATCATTCCTTATGCTATCTCACTTGGCGCGCTATTGGCCGAAGCTACGAAAGGTCAGAATCAAGCTATGTCACTGGCGATTTTGAGAGTTATTAGACTGGTTAGAGTCTTCCGCATATTTAAATTATCTCGTCATTCTAAAGGGCTGCAGGTTCTTGGAAGAACACTCAAGGCGAGTTTTCGCGAACTATGCTTACTTTGCTTCTTTCTGTTCGTTTGCGTTGTTCTGTTTTCAGCTGCAGTTTATTTTGCTGAAGTCGATGCTAGTGAAGAACAGTTTCCTAGTATCATTGATGCATTCTGGTGGGCGGTTGTTACTATGACTACAGTTGGGTATGGTGATATGAGACCCGTCACAATGTGGGGGAAGATTGTCGGTTCAATGTGTGCAATAGCAGGTGTCTTAACTATAGCTCTCCCAGTGCCTGTAATTGTCTCAAACTTCAACTACTTCTACCATAGAGAGTCAGAAAGTGAAGAGCTTACCACTTACGTTCACGTTTCCGATGACCAAAAAGGATTTAATTATCTCGGTGATAAAGTTTATGACCATTTTCATGAAGAAACACTTGAAAGTAAAAGTATAGGAACGCTAGATCAAGATAAAAATATGAGTGGAAGAAGAACAACAATCCTGCTTCAGTCTCTTTCACAGCCAGTTGGACGAGAAAGAATATCTTCTGTAAAAGCTAATGGTACGACAAATGTTGACATTGAAGCTGATGAACAATCCAGTTGTATTGATTCATTGGGTGAATTAAGCAACATGTGTACGGATGCAAGAAATTCTCAAACGAATACAAATCAAGCCTCAATATCTTATAGACATCATCATCAAGCATTTCAAGAAGTAATGCAAAACACGACATGCAATCTCAGAGATTTAAAGATCTTTATCCTCAGCAAACAAATACCAGTGGTAAACGATTTTCTCTTTTTACACAGTTTACAGTTAGTCCAGAGGAGTCTTTTTTGAACAAAACTTGAAATAGGCATATATATATATATATATATATATATATATATATATATATATATATATATATATATATATAGAAAGAGAGAGAGAGAGAGAAAGAAAGAAAGAGCAATGTCCATCGTGTACAAATTCGTCAATGATCAATATATGTGAAAACCTGTATAAACCTTCTTCTAAAATGGATACATTTGTATGTTCCGGTGCTTAGGTGCACAAAGACTATGTTTAATAAATAGATTTTTTAAAAACATATTTGAATATGCTCTGAATTAACTAGGCACTGAAGCAATACTGAAACTTGTCTATCTCTACTACTTTTTCTCAAAAAATTACTGAAAAAAGCAACTGATCTCCCAGAAAGTGAGTTAGTCTTTATTGCGTTTTCTTTTATCTTTATACAACGGTGACTTTTTTCAAGAGTTTCTTATTTAGGCGCTTCATTTATAAGCAGGCTGAAATTAGACAGTAACCCGCCGTTAAGTTCAAACTTTGGCTGTTAAATTAGATTCTGTAAAAAAAGTTGAGTTTATTATAACTACTTAGGAGTTGATCTTACGCAAACCTGACCAAAGTATTGGTCAACCAGTAGTAATTCATACTTAGATGAGTCCGAGGCTAAGAAAGAACACAAAAGAGTAGCCATGTGGACTAGTATGCTTGATTGACCGTGCCAAAATACCCATACGTTGGGAACAGTTGGCTAGAGCATCGCATACGAGCAATGCAACGTAACACGACAACGTGCCTAATGGTATGGATGCTTGACTGTGTGCTTTCAGCTTGGCCAGTCCGTTAAGACTGTGAAGGTCAGCATCAGTGATGAGTCTCGTTGAACCCTAGGCTATTGATTTTAGGCAACTATTTGCCACTACAATTATATTCTGATGGTAACTAACAACGACAAAATCCTATATGTAGTATTTCAAACAATGCTCACCTCATCTGTCGGACCGACTAACATCATATAGCTTCACGTAAACTACTGAATAATTATTGATTAGGAATAATAACCTCTTGTGTAATGGATGGCAGTATTTGCCATTGGAATGGTTGACTGATTTGCTACTTTTTTAATGTAACTAGATCAAACTGAGTGTAAGCTTTATGTTCTCGTTATGGCTGACAGAGAATCAAACACAGTGAGTCATACTGAGATTCAATGTGTTCAACGTTTCGCTGAACACTTTCCCGACTATTGATTATTGAATCTACGACTATTGCTTGCGTGAAAAGTATTTCATCTAATATGAAGTGGAGCTATGACCTGGTTAGCAGGTGGGTGTTACGGCTTACACAGGCTGTTAATTTTAACCCTCTTATCTCCCACTTTTTTATTCATTTCCCCTTAAATTAACACTAGTTTTTTAAGAGCTACGACAATGCCAGATAGTTCCAGTGGTCTTCCTATTTAGTTACTTTATGATCCCAATTAAAAATGTTTATGGCAGGTGAACTGAATAACGGGTGAGTTTAAAAGTCATCCTAGCAACAATCGAAATAATCATTTTTGTTTCTTCCTTCCGGCTGGAAAAAAGATTTCCATCCAAAATAGAGAAATCTAATTGGTTATCTCAATTGTTGCTAGGGTGGCCTTAAAAACTACTTTACGTAACTGTTTGGGAGAACACCAGTACGATTAATTAATACAAAAGAATTGAAATATGTTTTTTTTCAGACGTATAAATATCAAAATGACAAAATGATTTACTATTGGATAGTAAAATTTACAGACTTTTTTACACTTTATGATTGGAAATGTGTAAATTTCGGAAGTTAATTGATTTTCTTCTACAGATTACCATATTCGGGGGAAAACATATTTTGTTTTTGATGAAATTATACCAAAGAAGTTCGGAAAGGTTGCATCAGTGTATTTGTGTGTACACAGTTTGTAGTATAATCGATGACAAGAATAAGATGTAACAAATATAGCTTAACCATTCGGGCACTGAGTTGGTTTTCAATGGTTCCCCAACTGATGTCAGTCCCTGATGAATTCCACCTCTAAATTAAAATCCCCGTTCATCTCAAAAATACATTACTGCTTAGTGGTCATTGATGACATGCTTCCAGATGGATATCATGAAGTTCTAATGTGGAGCAGTGACCTTTGGGGTCAACCAGTCGGAAGGGAGGTGGATGCCAACTGAAGACCTTAGTTGCTAGTCACGCTATATGGTGAACTGACAGAAGTTGGAAAATGTGAACCCAGTGGCTGAATGATTAACGCGTTTGGCGTGAAACCTGAAGGTCTCGAGTTTGATCGCTAGCCAGGTGGTGGGTGTGTACTGCTGATGAGCTGTGTACTAGGACGAAACAGCTATCCAGTGCCTCAGGGTTTTCAATGGTTTTCCAATTGATATCCGTCTGAGACGAATGCTACCTCTACAGCATAGGTTAGTTAGATTACATGGTGGTTGAACTTGTTGAGATGACCTGATTTTGTCTCTTTGATTTTCTTTTTTCTCTCCGCTGATTGTGCAGTTGGCTTACACAGTGAAAGTAAACGAATGATTCTGAAGGCTATTATAGCAAGAGACTGAGGTGACTGACTAATTAGGTTGTTTTTTATATTTTGATGAAAACCGTGTCTATCCAAATGAAAGAGAGAAACGTTATTGATTATTCCAGTGATTCATTGGGAGTTGGTCGTAATGGCCAATCAGAGAGAATGATAATATCCTGTTACTTGTTAGTTGAGCCCCTGTGTTTCATCCTATTTACTTCTCAACTATACTTTGATTAGTATTATACACTTGTATTCCTAATAGGAATACTAAACCTCACTGGAATGTAGCTTTATTTAGCTGTTAAGTCAGTCCTAAATCAGGGCAAAGTATGCTATATATGCTGTTGAAAACTATGCGTTGTATCCAATCTTGTTTGTCAATAACAATAAAATAAAACTTGTTGGAGTTTTGTTTTGTTTATTAACGAGAATTCTTTGACCTTCAGTTAGTCTTGATTTGTTTGTTTGATATCCACCAGGTTATCCTGATTTAAATGAAATAATGATAATCAATACTTGATACCAATATAATATAGATTACTTGAAAATAAACAAAATGGATAATAGATTATATTAGTCAGAGCTTTGGCAACATAAAATTAACTTCTAGGTGTTTTTGTTTGTGAACTGATGGTTATAAGTCATTGCGGATAACTGGGGCTTCGATACATCCGCACTGCAATCGTGTACACATTCATGCAGTAGGCAATGAACCACACCTATTGTGTAAAGGTGAGTGGTACTCTATCTGGTTGCCCAAACGTCCGTAGTTGGAGCGGTGCTTGGACCTGTGGTTGAAAGTCAACTGAAAAGACAGGTAAGTCACAATTTCAGAATCAATGCATCCTCATACTATAACGCATTTTCCAAATTTTTCGAAATCTTGGTTATTCTGTTGTCACTAAGTATCCTTCAAAGTTGACTGGTGCAACTGAACTTCAGTAGGTAACATACATAACACAGATGAGGTTTAATGTCTCATGAACCGATATTAAAACTATCGTTTTCACTAATAGTAGCGTTTTAGAGCTTCTTAAACGTCTCATGAATTGATAGAAACTCGCAGTGGTTTTGTCGATAGATTGAAAAAGAGCGTCTAAAAGCATGCAAAGACAATGAATGTATACATGCACATGCTGCAGTTGTGGCTTGTTAGACTACGTCATTAGTTCTCAGCAAACTGGTACTACAACAGTCTGGCAAAGGAAGAATGCCTATCTTGAACAGTTTTAACTGAGCATATGAATATTAATGTGTTCGTGGAAGTTATTACATAGGTTGTACGTGGTGATGGGTGACTAGTTGTTTACTAGAGACGTGAAGATTCTAAGAAGCTCTATAACTGAACATCACCTAGACTTTTGGCATGACATCTAGGTATGATACGTATATATACCTATATGTATATGTACTTTCATGTGTATGCAGTGGCATATATGTATACGTGTGTATGACCCTAGTGTGTACTTACATCTATGTATATGTATGCGTGATATATATATACAGCAAGATTCAACTCAAAAGAAAGTCACAATCATACAATGCTATACCACGCACCTACAAATAATGCAGATCAAGAGAAAAAGGGGGAATTCTACAGACAACTTCAATCAACACTGGACAAGACTCCACCCCAGTTGGCGATATCAAAATTCTAATGGGCGACATGAATGCCAAACTGGGAGGGGACAACACAGGAAGAGAACTAACCATGGGTCGAGAAGCGCTAGGTGAAATGAACGAGAATGGAGAATTGTTTGCAGAATTCTGTGCATTCAACGATTTGGTGATTGCAATGAGGCAGTGTGTTCAAGTACAAGGATATCCACAAAGCGACATGGATCTGATTCCACCAGATGGACACACTAAAAATCAAATCGACTTATTCGCAATCTCAAGAAAGTGGAGACGCAGCCTACTTGACACAAGGTCAAGAAGAGGAGCAGATGTAGGTTCAGACCACTCACCATCTAGTGCAAGGAACCTACCCTCAAAATCAAGTTGAAAGCCTTCAAGGAAGCCGGTGATAGACCGCAGTTCAAGTACAACACTCGGAAACTGAAGGACGAGACTACAAAGGAAATCTTCACGTCAGTCATCTAGACAAAATGGGTGATATCGAGGAACATCCCTGAAGAGACCTGTGTGGAAGAACACTGGAAGTCTTTGAAAGAGATGTGGAAAGAAACCTGCACAGCCATACTAGGAATGAAGAAGAAAGAAGACAAGGAATGGATCTCGACGGACACATGGAAACTGATAGAGGAGAGGAGGATGGTGAAGCAGAAGATAAAACAGTGCAAGGATGCTCAACGACAAGAGGAACTGAGTACAATGTGTAAAACACTGGACAAAGAAGTGAAGAAGAGTGTACGGAAAGACAAAAGACACTCTTATGACACACTGGCAAGTGAAGCAGAACAGGCTGCAA